CGCCAGGACTACTGGGGCTGTAGTTCCGGCGCCGCCGCAAGGGTTGCCGGGAGCTGTAGTTCCCGCCAGGACTACTGGGGCTGTAGTTCCGGCGCTGCCGCAAGGGTTGCCGGGAGCTGTAGTTCCGGCGGACGCGCGGAGGGAGCCGCCCGGGCCGTGTCGTCAAGGCGGTTTATTGCGGAAGAAGCCGGCGGGAGGAGGCGCTGGGCCCGGCCCGCGGGGCGGGGGGGTCCCGGCCGCCTCCCGCGCCCCGCGCCCCGTGTCTGCCTGCGGTGCTCCCCGTGCGGCGGCGGCCGCCCTCCTTGCCGGTGCTGCGCGGGGCAGCCGGGACGGCTCCGTGGCCGCCCGTGTGCAGACCCTCGCACGGAGCCCGTCCCCGGCCTGTTGCAAAACGCTGCTTGCAGAAAACACAGATTTCTGGAAGGAGGCGGCTTCTGCGGTCYGGAAAGGAGGAGGAAACAATCCGTGCCGCTTCCGCCGCCCAGGGTCCGTCCCGCGTGGAGGCGGCGGGGGCTCCGTGCGGCCTGCCGGCTGCGGCGGCGCCTGGGCCGGGTGTGCGGGGGGTCCCCAGCGCTGCGCACACACACGCAGCAGGGCCCTGCGCCCCGGCCCCCCGGCCGCGCAGCAGCGCCTGTGCCCCCACACCCCCCAAGCGCCACCCCCATCCCTGCAACGCCCGCCCACGTTGACCCCAGGCCGGGCTTGGAGCCGTGAGCCGAGCCTGAGGCGGGCGCCGCGTCGGGCCGGCTCAGAGGCTGGGCAGGTTGCTCAGGTCGCTCATGACGCTGGAGTTGCTGGAGAGCGGCGCRCGGGGCCGGGGCGCCGCGGGGCCGCGCGGGCTGCCGCGCGCGCGCACCGAGCTCTCGCTGGACGAGGCGGCGGCGCCGGCGGCGCGCCCGCCGCACAGCAGGTCCCGCAGCGCCCGCCGCACCTCCGCGCTCCGCAGCGAGTAGATGACGGGGTTGACGGCCGAGTTGACCATGGCCAGCGCCAGCGTCCAGTCCAGGCTGTGCAGGTGCCCGCAGGCCCGCGGCTCGCAGGAGGCGTCCACGAGCAGCAGGGCGAAGAGCGGGCTCCAGCACACGATGAAGGCGCCCAGGATCATGAGCACCGTCTTGAGCAGGCGCAGCGAGCGCCTGCGGCCGTGCCGAGAGCTGCTCTGCCTGGAGCTGGCCTGCACCAGCTGGTAGATGGAGATGTAGAGGCCGACGATGCCCAGCAGGATGATGCTGAGCAGGACCACGGAGAAGAGGATGTAGCTCTTGGAGTAGAGCGGCAGGAGGAGGGAGCAGGCGCCGAAGTCGCACAGGCAGTTCCAGCCCAGCAGCGGCAGCAGCCCCAGCAGCAGYGCCAGCAGCCAGCAGGACACGATGAGGCCGCGCAGGCGCCGCGTCTTGCTGGCCTCGCTCTCCGCGATGGGCCTCACCATGGCACTGTAGCGCTCGATGGCCGTCACCAGCAGGCTGAAGGTGGAGGCGGCCAGCGCCACGAAGAGGACGCCCTCGCGCAGGAACCACAGCGGGGGCGACAGCTCGAAGGTCTTCCTGCCCGAGAGGCAGAGGTTGCCCAGGTAGGCGACGCCRGCCAGCAGGTCGCTCACGGTGATGCTGGCGATGCAGGAGTAGACCCAGCGGCGGGCGCGCAGGCGCCGCAGCAGCGCCAGCAGCACCAGCAGGTTCTCCAGGATGATGACGCAGCTGAAGACGACGAAGGCCGCGCGCGTGGCGCCCAGGCCCTCGTCGCGCGGCCGCCGCTTGGCCAGCTTGCCCGTGAAGTTGTAGTGCTGCAGGATGAGGCTGAGGTTGCCGGCGGCCGCCAGCTGCAGGCAGGCGCCCTTGCCCAGCCCGGGCTGCGGGGCCGGGCGCTGGGCGCCGTCCAGCAGCCAGCTCAGCCCCGTACCGTCCATCTCCACGGGGTGCGCGATGCGGCGGTGTTGAGCTGGGCTTTGCCGGGCAGCGGCTCCTGCGGGGCTCTGTCACGCACCGGGGACCGGCTGAGCCCCGTCCGCAGCCCCGGGCCCTGAAAGAGCGGGGTGAGGTGTTTTGTAAGGCCACGCGCCAGCACGGGCTTCCTGTTGTTGAAGTTTCCTGTTGTCAACTGGGTTATTGACAGCGTTTCGGGCGGTTATCGCTCCTCGGCGAGGAGCTGGCCCTTCGCAGCCTTGGCGCGGGAGCGAGGCAGCGCGTCGCGTCCCGCTCGGCGCCGGGGCACCACGGGGCAATGGGGCGGCGCTGCCCGTGGCGCTGGGCAGAGCTGCTGGGCTCATCAAGGCCGAGCGCGAGGAACAGCTCCCAGGGAGCCGGGGCCGTGGGTGCCTTGCCTCGGGTTGGATTCCCCTGGGCCCTGCAGGGCGCGGGGGGCGCTGGATCTGCTGCCCTGTGCCCCCCGGTGCCCCCCTGGTCCCCTGGGCTCCCCCACGGGCCTGATCCCCAGCCCGCCTCCTGGGCCACGTTCCCAGGCGCTGCCAATGCAGCGGATCTGGGCGCCTCCGGTGATGGGGGAGGCTCGAAGGCCTCCAGRGGAGGCCCAGCTGCTCCCGCCTCGCGGGGACTGGGCTGCTCGGATGTGCCCGGGACGCGCCCCGTGCCCTGGCGCCTCCTCCCAGCTCTGCGCCTGCCTGTCCGGCTCTTCCCACCCGGACTCCCAGGGGGATGGAGACCCCCGAGTGCTGCCTCGCGCCCAGCGCTGCGCCAGGGGCTCCGCGGGGACCCCCGTCCGGAGCCCGGACACGACCCCGATGCCCGTGCCCATCCCCGACCCGCTCCCATGCCTGGCACGGGGATCCCCGGTCCCATCCCGGCTCCCGGCGCTGCCCGGCGCTCACCTGCCCTTCCCGGCTCGCGTGGGCTCAGCAGGCAGCGGTGCCGCCGGTGCCAGGCCCTGCACGCACTGCGCGGCGGGGAGGGCTCCCTGTGCCAAATAAGTGAGAATTCTACCTAACACAATGAAAAAAGGAAAAAAAAAAAGAAAGGGGAAGTTACCACACCGCATTTCTCTGCAAGATGGTCCCACCCAAAACAGCTGCGAAAGGGCCCAGAGCAAAGCGAGGGCAGGCACCTCTGAGCTGGGCACGGCRGCAGAGCCAGCCGAGCGTCCTGCCTTCCCCCTGCAGCCCGGCACAGAGCCGCGGGAAGGTCCCCGGCTCCCAGCACGGATCCCGTGGGCCCGGGAGTGGGGAGTGATTGTGCGAGGGAGTCGCCCGCTGCCGGCTGAACCACGGGGACACGTGCAAGCCGAGCGCTTCTCAACAGCTCCGTCCGTCCCACTGCCTGCCCGGGGTGTCGGGGCTTCCCTGTGGGCAGGGCGGACAGGGACGGGAGCCGATGGATTCTGGAGATAATCCCAGGAGTGCAGGAGACAGAGCYGGGACGAGGCGCCGAGGGGAGCGAGGTCCCACGCACGCGGCTCCCACGCCTCGGCCCCGGTCTATCCCTGCTCCGGCCGCCCTTCCAGCTGCCCCTGGCAGGACAGGCCGGAATGTGCGCGGAATGCGGCGGGAAGGGGCTGGGCGCGGAGCGCCCCTCGCCACGCGCCGTGTGTGCGGCAGGGCACGAGGGGCCAGCGCTGCCTTTGTCCTCACGGAACCGCCCCCATTCCCGTCACAGCCTATTGGGAAGCTTGGCCTCTGGGTTAGACCCGGGCCYGGGTTTAGCCTGTCAACTCGAACGCAAGCTGCTTGTGTCCCCAGCATGGCAGATGCGCTTTTAGCASCAAATATTTTTAAAAGCGAGGCCTTCTGCCTTGCTCATTTCTGTTCGGTTCAGATTTCATGCAGCAAAGAAAGGGATCGCGGGAGGGAGACGACAATGCCCGTGGGAGAGCAAGGCGTGGGGCGGCAAAGCAGAGCKGCCGAGGGGAAAGAGCCACGGGGGCTGCGAGATAAAGCACCAACGGCTCCGCTCGAGGGTTTCCTGCTGCGCCATCCTGATTAAAACKTGCATTTTCCGAAGTAGTGATTAGCAAAGCGAGCGGCGCGCCGCGGCCCCGCTCCGCAGGTGTTTTTCTGCCCCAGGAAGGGTGGAGTTGGGCTCGTCCCAAACCGCGGGGGCACCTGCCGGGCRCGTTTCCTGGCCCACGCGCGGCGGGGCGGCGCTGCTGCCGCCGCCTGCGGTGCATCCCGGGCCCCGAGCGGCTCCGTGCATGGAATGCCCGGCGGGAATGGCCCCCGCAGCGCATCTCCAGGCTGGGAGAGGAGCGCAACTCCTCTCTGCTTCTCACAGCGCTGCTGACCTTAAACGGCAGAGCGGCGGTGCTGCCTTTCCTTTGCGTGGCTCTGCAGCGGGAACCTTGCGTTTGCTTCGTGCGAAAACCTCACGCGGAGCCCGGGGGCTGCCGAACGCGGCCCCTGCAGCACAGAGCGTCACCCGCGGGAGCGGGCAGCCCGCGGGGACCCGGCCCCGCAGCCCCCGTCCCGCAGCCGGTGCTGCAGCCCGCCCTGCGCTCCTGCTGCCCCCGGCGCTGCAGCGGGGACCGCGGCCCCTCTGTGGGCCTGGGGCTCCGCAGGGCCGCGGCTGCCCCACGGGCCAGGCCCAGCGCTGCATGGGGGGCTGCATGGGGGGCTGCATGGGGGCTGCATGGGGGCTGCCAGGGGGGCTGCACTGGGGCCACATGAGGGGCTGCAYGGGGGCTGCATGGGGGGCTGCATGGGGCTGCACGGGAGCTGCACATGGGGCTCCATGGGGCTGCACGGGGCTGCATGGGGAGCTGCACGGGGGCTGCACGGGGGGCTGCACGGGGAGCTGCATGGGGGCTTCATGGGGGGCTCCAGGGGGGCTGCCAGGGGGGCTGCACTGGGGCCACATGAGGGGCTGCACGGGGGCTGCACGGGGAGCTGCATGGGAGCTGCATGGGGAGCTGCATGGGGAGCTGCATGGGGGCTGCATGGGGAGCTGCATGGGGAGCTGCACAGGGAGCTGCATCTGCATGGGGGGCTGCAGCACATCGGTGCCTCCCGCGCCACTGCTGCGGCTCCTGCAGTGGATGCTCCCCGTCCCTTGCAGCGCGGGGCTGCGAGCTGCAGCGGAGCGGGGGCACACGGCAAATCTCGCCCCGCCGATGGCCTGTCACCACCGTGGTGGCGCCGGACGCGTGGGCGCGTGGCACCGGACGTGGCCGGCGCCGATAGCCGCGCGGGGCGCCGCACCGCGCCGATTAGCGCAATCAGGGCCCTGCACGCGGCTTCCGGGCGCGCCGGGCACCCGCTATAACAGCAGCCCGTGGGCACCGGGGCCTCCGCACCAGGACTGCAGCCAGGGCCGAGATGCGCCGGCCGCAGCCGCTGCTGCTGCTGCTGCTGCTGCTGCTGGTGCCCTGCGCGAGGGCCGAGGCCGGTGAGCGGGGAGGCCGGCGGGAGGCCGGGGCTGGAGCCCCGGGGGACCCCGGCTCAGCCCGTGTCCCCCCAGGCGCGTCGCGGGGCCGCATCGTGGGCGGCCACGAGGCGCAGCCCCACTCGCGCCCCTACATGGCCTTCCTGAAGATAGGGACCAMCTTCTGCGGGGGCTTCCTGGTGGCCCCGTCCTGGGTGATGACGGCCGCGCACTGCGCCCTGGGGTGAGCGCTTCGCACGGGCGCTGTCCCCAGCGCCGCCCGGCACCTGCCCCGAACGGGCTCCTCTTCMTCCTCCTCTTCTTCTTCTTCTTCCTCCTTTTCCTCCTCTTTTCCTCCCCTTTTCCTCTCCTTTTTCTCTYCCTTTCCTCCTCTTTTCCTCTCCTTTTCCTTCTCTTCCTCCACCGAGCGGCTCGTGCCGCGTGCCCGTGCCCGGGAAGCGGGTGAGCACCACGCAGTCTGTGCCTCTCCCGCTCTGCCCCCGGCCAGGAACATCACGGTCGTCCTGGGTGCCCACGACGTCCTSGAGCCCGAGAGGACGCAGCAGGTGCGGGGGGTGCTCAGGTACTACCCGCACCCCGACTACGACCCCGGCACGGTGGACAACGACATCATGCTCCTCAAGGCAAGGCGGGCACAGCGGGACGGGGCCTCCCCATCACGGGCTCCTCGCGCAGCACCGGGGTGCCCGGGTGCCCGTGGCAGCAACCTGGAGCCCATCGGGCCCCATGCGAGGAGCTTTCCCCTGTGCAAGGAGCTTTCTCCCCATGCAAGGAGCTCTCCCCCCATGCAAGGAGCTCTCCCCCAGCTGCCCCTCTCTGCAGCTCACAGCCAAGGCCAAGCTCAACAAGTACGTCAAGCCCGTGGCGCTGCCCAAGAGCAGCAGCGACCTCCCCGCGGGCACGCGCTGCAGCGTGGCCGGCTGGGGCTGCATCGACGAGGAGCAGGACACCGAGCGGCTCTTTGAGACCCAGGTCTCCATCTACAGCCGCAGGAAATGCACCCACTTCTACCCGGCGCTCACCAACGGCATGGTGTGCGCCGGCAGCTTCCACGAGCTCCGCGACGCCAGCCAGGTAGGAGCCCGCGCCGGAGCCCCGGCACCCGCGGGGAAGAGGCCTCCACAGCCCCCCTCGTTTCTCCCTAGGGAGATTCCGGGGGGCCCTTGGTCTGCAACGACGTGGCCGAGGGCRTCGTGTCCTTTGGGTACGACAGCCCGCCCGGCGTCTACGCCCGCGTGGCCAATTACCTGCCCTGGATCAGCAAGGTCATGAGGAAGTAGCGGCGGGCGCGGGGCTCGCCCGTGCGCCGGGGCCACCRCGGAGCCACCTTCCCTCCGTCCTCGTGTCACCCGGAGCCCCTTTTCCCGGGATGGGAACGGCCACCCCGGGGCCACCGCGAGCCCCTGCCCATTGCAGGAGGCGGCTCCTGGGCTCCACTCGGTCACTCCAGGACGGCAACGGTCCCGGATGGAGCAGGAGCCCCCGGGCACSGCTTCCTTGGCACGTGGTCCTTGTCCCTGCTCCTCGGCACGTGCCCCTCGTCCCTGCTCCAGCCTTGTCCCGCACGCAGCACCCACAGTAAAGGAAGCACTGCAGCCCCGAGCGCCCGTCTGCTCCTTCCTGCGGGAGCTGAGCGGGACGGCGGGACCGGGGAGGGCCGCGCGGCGCCGGGCGGCTGCGGGCTCAAGGGGACACGCATGAGAACTTGTCAGATAAGAACTTCCCAGTTTAAGAACTTCTCCACTGCGAGGGTTGCCAAGCCCTGGAACAGGGAGGTTGCCCGGGGAGGCTCCTGCTCTGGAGATCTCCCAACCCGTCGGGATGCACCCGGTTCCTCCGTGCTCCAGGTGTCCCTGCTGGAGCAGGCACCGCACTGGGTGATCCCTAGAGGTCCCTTCCACCCTCGACCATCCTGCGGTTCCGTGACACAGGAGGGGAAGGGCCGAGGAGGGTTTCAGCAACCCCGAACCCGTGCCCGGCGGGAGGCACCCGCAGGCGGCCCCGGCCCCACGGCGCTTCCAGTAGCTGCCCCGGGTGGCGGGAGGAGACGGCCCAGACAGAGCGGCCACACGACAGCCCTCAGACTCTCCCTGTCATTTCCTGGGAGCAGCRATGTCACTTCTAGCCCCCGGAGCCCACGCCAGCTTGGGGAAACCGAGACGAGTCCCTGCTCTGGGTTCTGCTAAGCGGCTATCAGCGAGGAAATCTGCGCGTGAAAAGACTACAGCTGCTTATCTGCCCCGCGCACGTCTTTCTCACGTCAGGGTTTTCCTAGCAGCTCCCGCCGCTGCAGCCTTCGCACGAGAATCCCTTTCTAGTGAAAAGGGGCTGGTTCCTGGGGCGCCGGAGGGAGGGCGAGTTGGGCGGCGGGGCAGGACGCGCGGGCCCCGCTCCGGCGGCACCCCAAGGGGCCGGGRACAGCGGCCGGCGGGGCGCCCAGGGGACACGGGCATTGCGGGAGCCTCTCAGCACCCGCTGCAAGGTCACGTCCCAACAGGACCGTGGCGGCCCCTGGATCCGCGATGGGGCAGCCCCCAAGGGGACCCCTCTCCGTCTGCCACGGGGTGGCGAGGCGCAGGACCCCAGGCGCGTCGCCCGCTCCTCCAGGCACCAGCACACGGCCGGGGAAGCCGGGCTGCCGGGAGCAGGGAGCTGCCCTCTCCTGTCTCCCGTTTGCTGGGAAAAGGGGCCGGGACCTTTGGGCACTCCGCCGGTTAGCAGCAGTGAGCACGGCTGGAAGGGAGCGCCCAAAACCGAGGCCTTTTGCTGCACAAATCCCAGCACCAAAGTGCCGGGATTTGAGCACCGACGCCGGGGTGACACAGCAGGGCCACCCGCAGGCCGCCGACCCGGGACGTGTCACCCTCGCGCCGCCGCGACCAGCGGGGTGCTGGAATTACATCCACATCCACCGTGCAAGGGCTGCTCGGCGAGCGCGGAGCTCCATCGCTTCGAGCAGGGTCCTCAAAGCCGTTGCACAGGCTGCGGCACTTGCACAGTGAGCAAACACAAACAAAACAAAGCCCTGGTTTTGCAAGGTGCTCGATAAACATCAAGAGCAATCAGAAGCTTGCAGCAACACAAACRGGCTGCAAGAAAAGCACACCTCGGAGGGCGAAGCTTTGGGCTCAACGCGCTCCCTGCAGTTCCAGTTAAAAGGCCATGGATAAAGCTGGTTCCAGGCTTAGCAGGATGTCGGACACTACAAGCCAGATCCCAGATAAAGGTGGTTGATGCCCAAGGCTAGAGCTGGCTGAATTCCCCTCGCAGAGTGCTGAGGTACGCACTTTGCAGACAGATTAATCAGATGAGCCCGGCCTCTGTGGTTTCCTGGAGTCTGGTTTTGGGCTATAAAACCTTCCTGGGAGCAAGGAGGGACCCCAGTGGCAGTGCAGCCTCCCAAGGAGCCGCCGAGGCCAAGGCTGTGCCATGAAGCGCCAGCAGCAGCTCCTGCTCTCGCTGCTGCTCGTCCTGTTCCCGCCGGGAAGCGCCCGTGAGTAGCAGCAGCCGTAGCGGGGGGCAAGGGCCGGGCGAGAGGCGCCCGGAGCGGCCGGCCCCGYGCCGGGTGCCACGCGGCCTCCCTGCGTTGCAGATCACTTCTGGAGCCGGCTCGGAGCGGGAGCTGAAGCCAAGGAGCTCTCCAAGCCCTACATGGCCTTTCTGCAGGGGCGGAACGGCCACTTCTGCGGGGGCTTCCTGGTGGCCCCCGGCTGGGTGATGACGGCGGCTCAGTGCGCCAGGTAGGGTTGGGCTCGCTTGGCAGCCCCGGCACCATGCGCAGGACAATACCTCCTCGGGGCCATGCAGGACGA